TGTCTCCATCACTTCATGAGGCCTCTCTCCCTCCATAAGGGAAGGTTAGTGGACACACTGGGTAACTGAAGCTGTGATAGTTATAAGACAGCAAGGGCCATATTAGGCCCAAAGGACAATGTTCCAAAACTTCTGCAAACAAAAATGATACTTCTGGTATACAAAAAAAAAAAATTCTTGTCATAGTTAAGGTTTCTATTGCTACAATGAAACACCATGACCTAAGTAACCTAAGGAGGAAAGGGTTATTTGGCTTACACTTCCACATCATTGTTCATCACTGAAGGAAGTCAGGATAGAAACTCAAAACAGGGCAGGAACCGAAAGGCAGGAGCTGATGCAGTGAGGCATGAAGGAGGAGTGCTGCTTACTGGCTTGCTTCCATGGCTCGCTCAGCTTGCTCTCTGTAGAACCCAGAACCTCCAACCAGCATAGGGATGGAACCACCCACAATAGGCTGGACTCTCCCCCATTGATCACTAATTGAGAAACTGCCTTAATGCTGGATCCTGTGGAGGCATCTTCTCAATTGAGGTTCCCTTCTTTCAGATATCTAGCTTGTGTGTCAAATACAATAATAAAGAGTTTAATGAAGAAAAATAGAAATATAAGGTAGGACACAAGTAGCCAGTAATAAATCTGAAAAGTCTTTGTTGTATTTATATAGAACTCCCAGTGAATAACTATATTGTCAGGGTTCTTTGGAGTAGCAGAACTTATAGAATAAATTCCTCTATATATAGAAAGGCAATTTATTAGAGTGGCTTACAGTCTTTGGTCCAGCTAATCCAACAGTGGCTGGTTATGAATGGAAAGTCCAAGAATCCAGTAGTTGTTCAGTCCATGAGGCTGGATGTCTCTGCTGGTCTTCAGTATATACCAGAATCTCAAAGAAGTAGGCCAGGGAAGGAATGGACTTGCTATCGAGGTAAGAGCAAGCAGGCAAAGAGCAAAGGCTTCCTTCTTTCATGTTCTTGTTATATAGGCTCCCAGCAGAAAATGTGGCCCAGATTAGAGGTGGGCTTTCCCAGCTCAAAATATCTAGACAAAAGCTGTCTCTTCCTGCTTCAAAGATCTGGATTAGAAGTAGATCTTCCCACCTCAAATTAAGCAAAAATCCCTCACAAGTGTGCCCTCCATTTTTGAGTTTTAGTTAATTCCGGATGAAGTCAAGTTGACAACCAAGAATACCTATCACAGATATTTAATATAGCTATACTTTTATAAGTAGAACTGAGGCTGGCGAGATGGCTCAGAAAGTAAATGCATTTTTCACCAAGCCGACAACTTGAGTTCCATTCTAAAAAAAAAAAAAGGATGAGAGGACAATTCTCACAAATTGTCCTTTGATGTTTACACATGAACCATAGCACGGGGGGGGGGGAGGGAGGGGAGAGAGAGAGAGAGAGAGAGAGAGAGAGAGAGAGAGAGAGAGAGAGAACAGACAACACACATAAAACAAATAAAAATAAATACACATTCACTCAAGACTACAATACAACTAATACATCTAAGGCTCAAGAGTTGCCACAGAAGAGGAGCCCGAAAAATGGGAAGAGCCAGAGAAATTTTGTGATGAGGTTGTGTCTCCTAGAAGTATCAGAGAAGTTAGACTCATAAAGTCTCATTGATGTGGCTGACAAAACAAGGAGCAGACAAGGATGACACCAATGGATGCAATGCTGGGCCTTGGTGGCACACCCCTTTAATTCCAGCACTCCTGAGGCAGAGGAATGCAGATCTCTGAGAGTTGATGGCCAGCCTGATCTGCAGATCAAGTTCCAGGACAGCCCTGGCTACACAAGGAAACTGTCTCAATAACACCAAAAACCTAAAAACAACCAACCACTAACCAACCAACCAACCAAACAAACAAACCAATAGACATGCTAACATGAAAGAGGAAAATCCCACGGGACCTCAAACACCTCAAACAGAGACAATCAAAAGCGATTAAGAAATGTTGAAAGTGGGAGAAACAGTCTTTTCCAGGGAGGAAGAGTCTCACTACATATTTTAAGAGGGCCACCTTCAGTGTGTGTGTGTGTGTGTGTGTGTGTGTGTGTGTGTGTGTGTGTGTGTTACATGACACCTGCTTCCCTGGGCTCAGACTCAGGTAATAGAGGCCTGAATAAAAAATGCAGGTACTACTGTTGTATCTCCTTCCAGGAAACAGTGAACACTGGAATTAGCCAGTACACCTGTTCTTTTTATGACCAGAGGAAGAAACAAGTTGCTATGCTCAGTATGTTGACACATCCTTGTAATCCCAGCTCTTTAGAGGAAATTAAAGCTCATCTAGTTTATATCTGAAAATCATCCTGAGATGAGTTTTATAGTAATCTGGCATTTTGTACCAGTAGTCAAGTGATATCTAATGTTTTAAGACATGGTTCTAAAGGAATATATACACAAAATGAAAAAACATTCCATGTCAAAAATCTAGAAGGAAGTAACTTGTATAAATTAAAAAAGCCAGCTACTGAAGGCTTGCTGTTTATATTCCCAACTACATGGTAAATTGTGGGGGAGAATTGTTTGAGTCTAGAGTTCAAGGCCATCCAGGTCAATGTGGTGATATAATATATATTAAAGAGGATTGGGAGTTAAATTTAACAACATTGTCAAATCATTTTTTTGACATTTTAAAATTCTAATCCAGAAAGACAATGTTAGAAGCTAATAGAAACCTTCACTTTTTTAAAAAATCTTTTTCAACCTCCTTTGTCAATTTAAACATCAAAAAAATTATGTTTTCCTGGTAAACTTGAAGAAATCATCCCTAAATCACTGTGGGCACAAAGCTTTGGTATTTAATTTTCTTTAAAAACAAGTACAGTTTTACTTTCTCTATACATTCACAAAACCCTTAGGACTAATGTAAAAAATCAGAAACTAAATCTCTCATGGAAATAAAATGTTGGCTCCTACATCCAGGGTTTTGCTGTCTGTACCAGTCATCCTCTTACTGATGTAATCTGAGTCTTCCTCAGTCAATAATTTAACAAAGTCAGAGTCGTGGTGCTGGTCAGTGGGTCTGCCATCTAGGTAGTGGTCTTGCCTGGAGAAAGAATTCCCACAACAGCACCTTACCACCCTTCTTTTCTTAGACATCCCTACCCTTTCTCCTCCCATGGTGGGATCCTAATTTATTAGGAGCTTTCCTCAGTAACCAAGGTGGAGGGGAGAATCCCACCTACCCAGCAGTGTCTCTCTGGCTCCTTGTATTTAGTCATTGACGTCATCCCAGAATCTTTACATTATCCTTGATCGGCTTACACATTTTGCTTTATTTAGAATTAATTTTGGTGTCTTTGTTCCTAGGATGTTGTCTCTTTATTTTTTAAATAAATGTACAAATAGCCAGGGATGGCTGATTATACCTTTAATCCCAGATTGGGCAACTTGTAAAAGCAGACAGATTGCTGAGAGGTCCACCCAGTCTGATCTACATAGTTCCAGGCCAGTCAGAGACACATAAAAAGATCCTGTTTCAAAAGAAAAGAAAAGAGGAGAGGAGAGGAGAGGAGAGGAGAGGAGAGGAGAGGAGAGAGAAAAGGGGGGGAACAACAAATAGAACTGACACAAAAAGAAAAGGAGTGAGTTAGATGTATAAAATTGTATAACTTTGATTAGATTGGCTTTTTCTTTCTTTTTTGAGACAGTTTCTCTGTGGGGTTTTGTTTGCTTTGCTTTTCTTTCTTTCTTTTTTTCTTTTTTGGTTTTCTGGGACAGGGTTTCTCTGTGCATTAACCCTGGCTGTCCTAACCCACTTTGTAGACCATGCTGGCTGTGAACTCAGATCTGCTTGCTTGTTTCCGGAATGGCAGGATTCTAGGCATGAGCCACCATTGCCCGGCCTAGATTGTCTTTACCTGATTAAATTTTTCAGTTGTTTAAATGTATAGTTTCCTGTGAGAGGCCAAATCTTTTATGTTCAGACTCTATTTTTAGAGAACCTGACCTAAGTCTGAACTCAGACAAACTAACAGGCAGTACCTAACACTAGTTTCCAAATTACCCCTGAACAAGACCAGCAACTCCAAGCTATTACCCCAACAGATCTGTACCCCCAGGTTACAAGGCCATCTCCTGCCTAATGACCACCAATGCAGAGGGGAGCAGAAATTAAGTTTATGATGTGACTCCCAGCACCAGCCAATTGTGTTAAAGACCACGGTAGCTCTCGAATTAGATGCTTTAACACCACCACCACCCCTTGCTTGTAGCTTTCTATAAAGTCTTGCCCTGATAGATATTGGGGGCTCCTCTCTCCACCAAAAACCGTACTGTGTGTTGGTGGTGAGCTGAGCGGCCCCAGCTAGCTACCCTCCTGTGAGTTGCATCAGATTGGCTCCTGACTGTTTTTTTTTTTTTGAGGGGGGGAGGGTGGTGGTGAGAGGGAGGATTGCTAACATTTCCCTGGCACTACATCTGTATCCCCTCGATTAGATTTTCTTTTCTTTACTGGTTTGCTTCTTTGCCATTCATTCTTCATTGATGCGTCACCACCTTTTCTCTTTAGAAGGTTTTGAGATACCTGCTTTCTTTTATATTGTGTTATAGTTAGGCAAACAATTTGGTAGGAAAATATCGGTTTCTCTTAGTCAAAAATAATTTCAGAGATTCCCGGGCGGGGGATATATTTTAAAAATAATCAGTGTTTCAAAGTTGCATTTAAATCTTAATGTCATCATTAAAAACCCTTTTTACTTTCTAATTCATTTTTAAGGCGATTATCTTTACTGGGGAGAGGTTTGCTCTAGGGAATTGCTTAATCGCTCCCGCTCACTTGCTTACCTTGATTTTACTAGATCAAATTCCTATACTTGGAGATTTTATTTCCTTTTCTAGTTTTAAACTATCTAACCCATCAGATTGCTAGCACTCAAGGTATCACGAAGACAGACAGGACCTATATTAGACAAAGTTAAATTTCCTCTGGGGGTTGGCCCGGCCCTTCCCGCTCCCTCTCTCGCGAGACTTGGAAGCCGGAAGTTACATAAAGAAATCTAAACTCTCCGCGGCTCTGTTAATGTTGGCGGGAGCCGGCGGGCGACCTGTCCGGTGTTCTCTGCTGTTCGGCCCGGGCTGCAGGTGCTCGAGGGTGTTGCAGTGGAGTTCCGCGGCCCAACGTCACGATGCGGGTGGCTGTGGCCGGCTGCTGCCACGGCGAGCTGGATAAGATCTACGAGACTCTGGCGCTGGCGGAGCGGCGCGGCCCGGGACCAGTGGATCTCCTTCTGTGCTGCGGCGACTTCCAGGCGGTGCGCAACGAGGCCGACCTGCGCTGCATGGCCGTGCCGCCCAAGTACCGCCACATGCAGACCTTCTACAGGTAAGGGGCGCGCGGCCGGCCTCGCGTGAGGTTCCAGGTCCTTCTGCCGCTAGTCGCGGTGCCTGTTGGACTTGGCGCTTAGGAAATGTCCCTGTCCTACTCTCTGTCCACATCTGGCTCTTCTTCCCAGGGACTGGGGTGACACCAGCAGTGTTAGATACTTTGGAATTGGTAGACACTATGAGTAGTTGACTTAATGATCTAGTTTTTACTGGACCTGCTGTGTGCTAGTCTGGGTTCTAGAAGCCCAGACTATATAGCCTTGCACTTTTCACAAAGTTCTTGATCTCGATGAATGTATGCTGGGTCGTAACTCAAGATTTCATTCATTCTTAAGGGCAGGGATGGGAAGATAGTGGGGACCGTTTGATCGTTGTTGTTGTTGTTTTTTTTTCCCTCTTGCTTTTTCTGCTGTGGTTAGTTTGGTTCCTGACAACTTTACCGTTATGTTGTAGATATTACTCTGGAGAGAAAAAGGCTCCGGTTCTCACCATCTTCATTGGAGGAAACCATGAAGCCTCAAATCATTTGCAAGAGTTACCCTATGGTGGGTGGGTAGCACCAAATATTTACTACTTAGGTATGTATTTATGTTCACTTTTTTTGTCTTGTCAGAATTTGTACCAGTTGGGCAGCTTCTAGAAGATATGTGGTGTTGGTGAATGCCATTAACTTAAATAATCACGAGAATTGAGTTAAAATAGTTAATTATAAATGGCTAGCCATGAATATATACCCATTTTTCTTCTAATGGTTTAAATAATAGTTAATATGATGACAAGTTTATTTGTAGTCTCCTTGATTTTTTTTATTGAATTAAACTTTATAGTGGAAAATGCTAAACGTACATGAGAATACTAAGCAGTATTATAAATTTCTTTACTTCAACATCTAGTACTTTGTTCTACTCCCATATTTAAATATCCAGTATTGTTTAAACTTTTTCTGTGGGAGATGACTGGGATGTCTTAAAGCAAATCCTAACCACTGGGTTATTTCATTTGTATATTTTTAAGTACATGACTCTCCCCTACCCCAAGATTTATTTATTTACCATGTATACAGTGTTCTGACTGCATGTATGTCTGCAAGCCAGAAGATAGCACCAGATTACATTATAGATGGTTACGAGCCACCATGTGGTGCTGGGAATTGAACTCAGGACCTCCAGAAATGCATCCAGTGCTCTTAACCTCTGAGCCATCTCTCCAGACCCTAAGTACACGACTTTTGAGTGATAGGATTTTTTTAGACACATAGTTCTGGTATCATTTTATACCTAACTGACGTAGTTTAGTCCTTATCTCATGCCTTGTCCGTACTCATTTCTCTGCGTGTCAGTTATCAGGTCGACAAATGATTTGCACAGGTAGAATCCAGATATTTGGTGTTCAGAACTCTGTCTCTTTGACTCTTCCCATTCTTCCTTTCTTTGTTTCTTTCTCTTTTTTTTCTTTTTCCTATATAGTTTATTTGTTGTAGGCAATGAAATTGATTGCCTTGTATATTTACTGCACTTTGGATTTATTATGATATCAGTTGAAATGCCCCTTTTATTTTTCCACATTTTTCATCTTTTAAAGTTTGCAGACCTTTTATCTCTTTGTTTAAATGATTGTTTCTAGAATAATTTTCAGGTTTTTTTCTAGTGATGAAATCTTAACTTTTGAAATTTTGTTTTTCTGTGTCATTACTGATTTGCCATCTTTCAACAATCTCCGTACTATGAAGAGATGAACTTGGGCCTGGCATGTTTTTAATTCCAATACTCTGGAGGCAGAGGCAGGCTGATCTCTAGGAGTTTGAGGCCAGCCAGGTCTATGTAATGAATTCCAGGTCACCCAGAACTACACCATAAGACCTGTCTCAAACAAATAAAAAGAAAAGGTGGAATTGTCAGTTGAGTCAAAAATGAAAATGTAGAAACTGCAGGTTCTTTGAACATTACACCTGTTGACTTGACTCCCAGTGTGTAAGTCTATTACAGGGCATTTTCCTTCCTCTCCACTTCTTCCTGCATAACTGCATGCTCAGCTAGGTACCACAGTGCGCTGTTAGGGACCACAGTGTGCCATTTGCTTTTTACCTCCTACCTCCTCATCCTTTTAGAATCCACTTAGTTTGTTGTCTGATTGGCTCCAGACCTTCTCTGCCTGTGGATCATCAGCGTAAGACAAAGTATGAAGAGTGACCTTATTATGGCAAATATTTTCAAATGATTTGAGGACTACATAGAATTTCAGGCTTCTAGAAGGTTTATTCTCTTAGTAGATTCCTTTTGCCTATACCATTTTACTAAATTGCATAACTTTTCAGGTTTGGCTGGTGTCGTCAAATACCGAGGAGTAAGGATTGGTGGAATCTCTGGAATATTTAAATCTCATGACTATCGAAAAGGTATTGTTGTGATAGAGTTACTTTTTATATTTTAGAGCTTGCATGCCCTCTAGTAAAATAACCAAAATTTATAGTTTGACTTATTCATCAGATTTCTTCTGTAAATGATATTATTAATTTTTTATTATAAGTATTTTATGGACAGGAAACTGTAGGTGCTATATAGCATATCTATTTGTCCATGATCTAGTTTTATCAGTATTGTCTCAGGATTTTCTATTTTAATTTTGATTTTTAGGAAATGCAAAAGTATAGGTATAGTTGAAGTTCACTGACTTGACTGTCGCATTCCTCTCTTCCCCATACGGTAGCCAGGGAACTGCTGTTTCCAGTGTTTGGTGTTTATCATTCACTTGATTATTTCATGTCACTGCTGAATACACAGGATTCAGTGTGTTGCACGGTGTGTTTTACACTTTGTGTAAATGTATCTCATTGCTTGCATCTTTTGCAGCTTACTTCCTGCTTTAACATGGTTTTGAAGTCCATGTCATTATAGCATCTGTAATGTCATGATAACAATCTGAAATTTGCTCCTTTGTATGTAGATAGTATTTCGTTGTTTAGATACCACAGTTACCTTTCATCCCACCATATCTAAGTGATTTTTGGTTAGAGTAGTGGCTTACATTCATATAGATTCTACAAACTTCATGAGTTAAATTGACAACTAAAACTTACATATTTAATGTAACTGTTAATTGAAAATCAATTTCTTCATCCTATCCCCTCTGCTCTCCATGGTGCTAAACTGTTGGCATGGACTCCAAACATAGGTTCTTTGTTACATGCTCCATGTGAATGTAAATTTGGAACCTCTTTTGGAAAGATAATGGTAATATAGTTTATTTCTCTTCAATTTAAGGTCATTTTGAGTACCCCCCTTATAATTCATCTACCATAAGGAGTATTTATCATGTGAGAAATATAGAAGTCTACAAATTAAAACAGGTATGTGAAAAGTATATAACAGAGACTTGAAATAAATTTAATTTTGTAAATTTAAATCTGTAAAATGTATTTGATTATGTTGGCTTGCAATATTTGAGACTACCACTTTAGCATTTCTACAGTTCAGTTTGGATAGTTTTTAGGAGGTTCAGAGTTGAACAGATTTTAATTTTTAATGGTTAAAACTTTATTGTGACAAGCAGTTGTAATTTAATTTGTGATTGCACATATTATACTTACGTTAAGGGTAAAGAGTATATGCTGAAATAAAGTGATATTTTTTTAAAGATTTATTTATTTTATGTATGTGAGTACGCTGTTGCTCTTTTCAGATATAACAGAAGATCCCATTGGATCCCATTACAGATGGTTGTGAGCCACCATGTGGTTGATGGGAATTGAACTCAGGACTTCTGGAAGAGCAATCGGTGCTCTTAACCACTGAGCCATCTCTCCAGCCCATAAAGTGATAATTTTAAGTAAATATTTTAGCCAAGTATGATGGCACACACCTCTAATCCCATCACTCAGCAGGCTGAGGCAAGAAGATGATGAGTTTGAGGTTAGCTTGGGCTACAACATAGACCCTAATGTCTGGAGAAAAAAAGAGAGGAAACAAAATTTTATAGCACTAAATTTTAGTATTAGATAAAACTAACTAAATCATAGTATCAAATATAAAACAACTAATGGGAAAGATGATATAGGATATGACAAATTGTGAAAATGGTATCAAAATACTGATTTAGCTGATGAATTAGTGAAACTAAGTTTTTGAGCGCCCACTCCAGAGCTGACACTGAGATGAGCAGACCTCACATGTGCTGTTTCCTATGATCTCATTCAGGTTTGCTGAGGTAGCTCTCACTCTGCTTCCCTCTTTAAGAATGGCTTAGTGGTTAAGATCACTGACTGCTCTTCCAGAGGACCTGGGTTTAATTCTCAGCACCCACATGGTAGCTCACAACTGCTTACAACTCGAGTTCCAGGGATCTGACACCCTCATACAGACATACTTAGGTAAAACACCAATGCACAAACAGCAAGAACGCCAAGTCAAGATGTAGGCAGACAAGGAACCTGCCAGGACCTCCCTGATAGTGTCTAGTAGAGCCAGTCTCAGTCCTCAAGCCCGGCACTGTCCCAGAGCTGCAGGGCATAGTGCTCCTGGGCCTTTCTTATGGTCCATTTGTACTCTTCTTTTGGATACCTTTGTTTACCAATCTAAATCCTACTTCTCCCTTAAGACCCAACTGGATCCTACTTTCCAACAGCAGTTGTCTAGTTTGGAGCCGTCACCCTTGGATTCTCATTATCCTCTCCTCAGTGACTGCTGTACCTGAGCTCCAGTATGTGTTGTCTTAAGTGGCTACTGTTTCACTTTAGTCTCCCCAGTCCTTGTCTCACATTACTTGATCGTGCTGAAGAGTGAGTAAAGTGAGGAGCGCGTTTTCTGTTTTCCCTACAAGCAGCTTTAGGTATTCATTTATGTAGCAAAGGAGGAGTGTGTAGTTGGTACTAAACCAACTGTGTTTATTTAGTTAGGGAAAAAGATGGCGGTCTAGGAGTCCACAGCCAAGGCTGGTGGTGCAAGCACTCTGCTGTTCAGCTACACTCCCATCCCAGGTTTTTCCTGTTACATTTTTGGATTTACTGTGTTAATTGTGTGGGGAATTTTATTAAATCTGTTTTCGTTAGATCTTCAAAATTATTACTTTACCAGGGAAAAGGAACTATGGCTATTATACATTTTAGCAATCTGGTGTGGCAGGCCTCAGCTGATCGGCAGACTAATAAAGATGTCTCTGCTGCCCTGCCTTTGCTGCAGAAAATAGGATCATTTCTGAGGCACAGAAAAGGCTGCTTCTCCTTGTCTAGGTGAATGAGGAGCTTAGTATTCTTATTATTTCCTTAAAGTGTCCTTAGGAAATTAACACAGGAAGCAAGATCACCAGTCAACAAGAGGAATGCTTGGTTGGGGAGGGAGTTGCTTTTGGTTATTCTCTTTCTAAGAATTTTCTTTCTGTTTTTCTGTTCTTAAAGTTAAAGCAGCCTGTACATATATTCTTATCTCATGATTGGCCAAGAAATATATATCATTATGGAGATAAGAAGCAGCTTCTTAAGACCAAATCTTTTTTCCGCCAAGAAGTGGAGAACAGCACACTAGGGAGTCCCGCGGCCTCGGAGCTGCTGGAGCACCTGAAGCCTGCGTACTGGTTCTCAGCGCACCTTCATGTGAAGTTTGCAGCCTTGATGCAGCACCAGGTAGGACAGCAAACACCCTCTTAGCCTTAATAAATGCTTACTGGACAACCATGACCTAGGCACTCAGTGTGGGGAAGAAATGAGCAAGCAATTACAGAACAGGGTGAGTGTGGGAGAAAAAGGCTGAGGTGCTTGAGGGTACCTGGTTCAGACTGTGGTTAGGCTGGGGTTGATCTTGAAAGGGAAGGTTTTCAAAGAACTGCATGGCTGAGCTAAATCTAAAGTGCCAGGAGGAAATAGAGTCTATGAGTGTTTTAATTAACAGACCAACGTGTGTGAAGACTTAAAGGTCCCAGAGCACAATGCACTTGGGTGCTAGCTCCTGTCCCTGAGGTGTAGAGACAGATACAGCTGGAACAGAACCATAGCTGCTTCTGGGCAGAGCTCAGGCACTTATTTCTTCTAAAGACTACATTAGAAAGGGCCTTACAGGGCTGGAGGGATTATTCAGCATTTAAGAACACTGGTTGCTCCTCCAGAGGTCTTCCATTCAATTACCAGCAACCACATGGTGGCTCATGACCATTTCTAAAAGATTTGATGCCCTCTTCTGGCATGTAGTTGTATATGCAGACAGAGTACTCCTACATTTTAAAAAAGATACATAAATAAATTTAAAGCCGGGAGGGCTTAAGAATATTTTCAAGTAAAACTCTGTTTCAGGAGCATTCTACCTCCAATGCAGAGAAGGGTTTGGTCCAGTAGCTTTGGGAAGCACTGCATGTCACATCCACAAAGACAGTGCCCATTGGGCCGTTAGACCTCTGAGAAGGTCTCCAGAGCAGAAATCTCCAGTTGCTAACCCTGTATTTTTTGATGGTTTCCCTATGGAATATTTCAGAAATAAGCAAGAGTTTTGGTTTAAAACTCTAGAAGGTGATGGGAGTCTGATGAAACCAGGTGGTGGTTCTAAAAAGATGGATTGGCAGGTTTGTGTGGATTGGAGTAATGGTAAATCAGAGACACCTCAGAGACGCGGTGCTGCTTAGCAAAGCAGGAGTTTCTAACCAAAGCAAAGAACACAGAGAATGAAGTAGATTCTAGTGGAAGCAGAGAAATAAGGATGGTGAGAGCAGGGAGTACAGGATGACGGCCATTTAGAAAATTCAGGGTTAACAGTTGGAAATCTGACGTCTTCTATAGACTTTCTCAGAGTCTGTAATGCATTAATGAGCACTTTCTAGAAAGGAATGTGATATTGTAATGCTTTCCAGACTTTTTTCCTACTTTAACAACATGCCCAAGATAGTTGGTACATGAAGATACTCCCAAAGCCCTTTGTGCTGTGGTCCTACAGAAGAGCAGAGATATCCTTGACTTCGTCTGTGATCATGCTTGCTTTATGATGTCCAAGCACACCTGTAGACACGGCTCTCCTTTTCACATCCGCCTGCTTGGTTTTACTTCTTTTTTTTTTTTTTTTTTTTTTTTTTAAGATTGGCTAATTCTTTATTTTTACATACTTGATGAAGGAGCGTTCCTTAAACACATTTTCTCCAGTGGAAAACAGAGCATGAAAAGCGGCTTCCAGCTGCTCTGCTCAGGGCCTGGGCTCCTCCTTGCCTGAATGGTGAGGAGGAGGGGTGTATTTCCCCTCTTTCATTAGCTTTTCCCACTGTCTCTTGATGTCACGCATTCGCCTCATCGTTTTGAACCGCAGAAGGCATTCCTCAAAGTCTTCAAACTCTATCTTGCACTCTTTCTTTGCCCGGGTAGCACCGATCGCATGTGCACACTCTATCCACTCTTTTTCAAAAGCGTGGCACCGAGCAGCATTCTTGTAGGGCTGTTCAGCACTTTGGAAATTAAAGTGACGGTCTAGGCTAATGCCCAGCTTTTTCTGAATATCAAGGAAAGGCATGGCTGGGCCACCCACAGCGAGAGGAAATTTGTCAAGGAGCAATCCCTAGCAAAGCTTCTTGGCTGTGCGGAGACAGCAGCGCCTACCGCACTTCAGCAGTGCCCTTGTCAGGTCCCTGGGTGCAGTTCACTCACGACAGCCGGCTCCGGGAGGACCTTGGTTTTACTTCTTAAGGGCTCGTGGCACTCCTGAGTTTTTTGGGGGTGTTTGTTTGTTTGTTTATAAGGTGGTGGAGGTCTCAATGTGTAGATCAGGCTGGCCTTGAACCCCCGATCTGGCTGCCTCTGCCTTCTGAGTGCTGGGTTTAGAGACTTGAGCTACCATGCCCAGCCAGCTTCTGAGCTTCTATTGAAGTCTGGTTTCCTGCTTTCCTCAGCTCCATCTTCTGTTGTCATCCTCAGGAGTCATCTCTGTGTACCACTGATAGCTTGAGTCCTTTTGATTGGCTCATCAGCCTCCTTTAACTTGCCAGTGTTCTATTAACACTTTCGCCTACTTCAAAGTCACTTTTTCTCAAAACTGTCTTGTTGCCAGATCTTCCCATAGTCTCCAGTCACCACTACAGGACTGATCCTTGATCCACGGGTGTGGCACGCCGGCCTTGTCCTTTCCCTGCTTCTCCTTTCCTGTTTTCAGCCGGTCACTTTTGTCCTGGTTTTTGTGACCTTCATACTTAGGCTATCTCCCTCTGTCTCTTTTTGTTGATTTCACTTTTGAGAAAAATAGTTTTGTTGGGCTACAATTTACATATCAAGATTTTTAAAATTTATTTATTTTTATTTATATGAGTACACACACTGTTGCTGTCTTCAGACACACACCAGAAGAGGGCACCAGATCTCATCACAGGTGGTTGTGAGCCACCATGTGGTTACTGGAAATTAAACTCAGGAACTCTGGAAGAGCAGTCAGTGCTTTTAACCTCTGAGCCATTTTTCCAACCCAAGATTAACACTTCTTAAATATATAATTCAGTAATTTTAAGTAAATGTCTACAGTCTTATGAATATGAATACCACAGTAGTCCAGTCTTTTTCTTGTTTTATTTTGTTATTGTGGTTTTTTTTTTAATTTTTAAAAAAATTTTAACAGCTTATTTTATGAATGTGAGTACACATACTGTCGATTTCCTCAGACACACCAGAAGAGGGCATCAGATCCCATTACAGATGGTCTGAGCCACCATGTGGTTGCTAGGAATTGAACTCAGGACCTTTGGAAAAGCAGTCAGTGCTCTTAATTCTGAGTCATTTCTCCAGCCTTGGTTTTTTGGTTTTTGGTTTTTGGTTTTGAGACAGGGTTTCTCTTTGTAGCCCTGGATGTCCTAGAACTCACTCTGTAGACCAGGCTGGCCTCTAACTCACAGAGATCCACCTTCGTCTTCCTCTGGAGTATTGGATTAACCAGCCACCATCTATCTAGCTCACAGACACCATGTCCATCACGCCCCAGAATCATTGCATCTATTGTCCCTGTTTGTAATCAACTTGGCATCCTTAGCTGTAGACAACCCCTGATTTGAGTTGTGTTCTTCTGAATAACTCATGTAAAAAGAATCATAAAGTACATGTTTTTAGCAACTAGTTTCTTTCATTTGTTTGTTTGTGTGAGTCACTCATGTAACAAAGCAAGTCAGTGTTTGATGACATCTTCCTCTTCCTCCTCCTCCTCTTCCTCCTCCTCCTCTTCCTCCTCTTCCTGTTCCTCCTCATCATCAGTGTTTGTTTTGAATTTTGAAAGAATTGGCAGCCAACAGTGGTTAATGCTTTGCACATCATTGCCCAAGTGGATGTAGACTGCCTTCCCTTTTTCTTTTCTCTTCTTTCTTATTTATTTATTTACTTACTTGGTAGTCATTCTTTTAACATAGAATTGGGAGCATGTGTAAGAAATGTTATCTCTGCTCTATTCAATGTATGATTACTTGTGATGTTTTAACATTCTTAAGTCGTGGTTTGTATCATCTAGGCCACAGATAAAGAACAAGCAGGCAAAGAAACCAGATTTTTAGCCTTGGACAAGTGCTTGCCACACAGAGACTTTCTTCAGGTAAGAACAAAATGAATCATTTCAGGAAAGTTTTCTCTTCCGGTGATTTTAAAGAACTAGTTTTTACTTCCAAATTTATTCATGCTATTTATAATTTATATTTTCTGAGAATTCTTTGATGTTGCTTATGTTAACATTTTAAAATTAAATTGATTTAAAATTATTAGAGTGTTAAACATAAATGAATTACCTAACCTTTCCGGTTTTGTCCTGTAGGTGTTAGAGATAGAACATGACCCCAGTGCTCCTGGGTACTTAGAGTATGATGCTGAATGGCTTACTGTCCTCAGGGCCACTGATGACCTCATTAATGTGACTGGGGGCCTGTGGAATATGCCTGAAGACAATGGTCTGCATACAAGGTAGTTCTGCTCCCTTTAGAACTTGCCTTCTGCACTGCACGCACACTTGTCTCTCCTCTGTGCTGTGTTCTGCTTCCTGAGGAGTTTGCTTGTCTGCAGAAACGGTGGGGAGCGAGGTGACGATGGTTTTGGGTTCTGAGCATCTGGCAAGCCTCCCAGCAAGTGCCTGCTTGATGATCTGACACATTGTGAGCTGTAGTAGTTCCTCTAGTCTCTGATTTGGGCCTAATTTAGGGATTTATACCCCCTGGCTCCAGCATGCACTGGCCATGAGACCCCAACTTTGTACCCTCGGTTCACTGACTATTATGTTTTATTTCTAAAGACTCTTTGCTAAGTTAATTATAATTTTACCATGTGAGGTTTTTTTAGATTTTTTATTTTATGTATGTGGGTTTCCCTGCATGAATGTCTGTGAATCACGCATTTGCCCAGCACCAGTGGAGGCCAGAATTGGGAGTCGGATCCCTGGAACTGATATTACAAATGGCTGTGAGCCAACATGTAGATGTGGGAATTGAACCTGGATCCTCTGGGAAAGTACCCTGTGTTCCTAACCACTGAGCCATCTTTGCAGCTTTTGTGTAGAAGTTTTGTTTTGTTTTGTTTTTAGAGACAGGGTTTCTCTGTGTAGCCTTGGCTGTCCTGGAACTTATTCTGTAGACCAGGCTGGCCTCAAACTCAGAGATCCACCTGCCTCTGCCTCCCCAGTGCTGGGATTAAAGACCTGGGCCACCACTGCCCATTTTTTAGTAGAATTTTTAATGTTTCTTTTTTAATCTTTGTATCTGGAGTCCATACTTAGGTTTCATTACTTACTGTTTGAAGGTGATAACTTGTATAAACCAATTGGTCTGATCGTTACAGGTGGGATTATAGTGCAACCGAAGAAGCTATGAAAGAAGTAATGGAAAAATTGAACCATGACCCAAAAGTCCCCTGTAACTTCAGCATGACAGCTGCTTGTTATGATCCTAGTAAGCCGCAGACACAAGTGCAGCTGGTTCACAGGATCAATCCACAGACTACTGAATTCTGTGCCCAGCTTGGCATCACAGACATTAATGTCATGATTCAGAAGGCCAAGGAAGAACATCATCTGTGTGGTGAATATGAACAGCAGGGTGATCTGGGGACTGATGAGTCTGAAGAGGACCGGAGTGAATACAACACAGACACATCTGCCCTGTCCTCCATTAATCCAGATGAAATAATGTTGGAGGAGGAGGAGGAGGAGGAGGAGGAGGAGGAGGAGGAGGAGGAGGAGGAAGAAGCTGCAAGTGCTCACAGTGACATGAATACACCTTCTGTGGAGCCTTCTTCTGATCAAGCTTCTGACCTCTCGACAAGCTTTTCTGATGTCAGGAACTTACCAAGTTCCATGTTTGTGTCTTCGGATGATACATCCCATTCTCCAGCTAGTGGGGAAGGGAAATCTGGTGAAACTGTAGAGTCTGGGGATGAAAAAGACTTAGCTGAGTTTCCACTGAAGAGGCTGAGTAATGAACACGAACCTGAACAAAGAAAGAAAATAAAGAGGAGGAACCAAGCCATCTATGCTGCAGTAGATGATGAGGATGCTAATGATGAGTAAGACAGGCCTTGACTTTGTGATAAATATAGATATGTGATTTCAAGACCCTATTTTTAGGGCAAAATTTCTGATTTATGACTGAACTTTGTAATAATGAAATGATGGAATTTTGGTTATAAGCTCTGTATTTAGGTGTATGTTTATATGATTCAGATATAGACTTATTAAAATTTCATATGAAATTTGATGACCATTTTTAAGACATTCACTTCCATGAATCTTAAGAAACACTGTTCTCTAAGATGGGACTATGAAGATTTTGTAAATACATTAAATGCCACTTAATTGCTGAAATTCTCCTATTGCCTCTTATATATTACATTTTAGCTGAATTTTTATGTAATTTTGGTACCTATATTCAGGTTATCTTGGCATCGTGCAGTTTAATACTAAATAATATATTAATATATAATTATTCAGTATTAATTAAATCTAACACAAGTGTGTAAATGCTGTCCATCCTGCTGCATGATAGATCAAGGGTAGTGAAATATTTTCAGAGATCATGTGGAACACCTCTTGTCTGGAGTTACAGAACTTGGGCTGCCTGGGGAGATTGCCCTGGACTTTGGAAGAGGAATCATGGTGTCCCAGGGTCCATTCTCATTCTGCAGCAGTCCAGATCCAGGCACTAGTTTAGGGGAGGCCTGAAGTGGCTAGCATTCATCTTGTCAGCATTGACTTCATAAAGCTATAAAGCTTGTCGGCTTTGAGGCTTCTGTTTCCTTTTTTTTTTTTTTAACTTTAAAAGATTGTTTTCTTATTTACATTAGTATTTGAAACTGAATTTTCCCCATTCTTTTGAATTCCACAAATCCAGATTGTGGTTTTCCCCAGAAAAGTCTTTTTAAAAGGAAAAGAACACTTGCATGCCTGAGGTAACTTAGAGTATTGAACTCCCTTGAAAATATTTTAAAGCAGAAAATATAAGACAAACACTAGAATTAATAAATGTTAATCTTAAAAAAAAAACAAATAGTGCTCTAGTTTACCCAAGACAGTATGCAAGTACAGGCTGTGCTTGGTGGGCCAGACCTTTAATCCTAATATCAGGGTAACAAGCAGGTGGACCGCTAAGGTGAACCTGATCTACAAAATGGGTTCCAGGTCAGCCAGGGCTATGTAGAGAGACATTGTCTCAAAAAAAAAAAAAAAAAAAACAAAAACAAAAAAGAATGTAAATACAAAGAAAGATGCCAAAAATGTTATTCTTACAACACTGTAAATGCTTGGTAGAATGTATGGTTGCAATTTCTTAGAAATAGAATTTATTGATGCCAGTCGTGCTTGAAATGGATCAAATACATTTCCACAAAAGAAACCAGAAAATGATTCCCATGAAGTTCCTGGTGGCTTTGTAACCTGAATGACAGCGTGTGTTACCTGTTTTCATAGGCAATGGGCAGAGACAAGTTGAATCCTTTAGTTATGTTCTAGCTAGGTGGTGGGCAATCTGAGACCACAGCGGGTTCACATCCTAAGAGGAATAAACCACACTGTAGTTCATCTCCAGCCAACAGGCTACATACGGAGGGAGCAGACATTGCAGGACTTAGCCTCCCTCCTGTGGTCAAGTGGTCAGCCCCGTCCCTGACGTCCATGGTTTCGGTGTCTCCTTATTGTCTGCACTGCTCCCTTGTTTAGTGTTTCTTGGAACACCTGTTTGGACACTCCCAAGGACACTTGAGTGGTTCATGTCCGCAGGTGGTATCCTGTGTTCCTCCGGGTGCCACCTGGGCTTGGGGCTTAACTCAGAATGAGTAAACCATCAGGAGTATGTGCTGGTGAGCTGTTTATGATGTGTACATGCAGATTTCTTTCTGTAATGAGTTCATGCCCTGTGGCATAGTTTCAGGAGGAAACTACCTAGCTTTTAAAGCCAAAATATAGAAAAGAATAACTTCATTTTGTGAAGCAAATGTACCATTGATGCCAAATCTAAAATAGATATAAAGAAACATCAGTCTCACAAAATATCAACAAGCCTTGTGGCTGGAGAGATGACTCAGCCAAATTGAAACAGAAGACCTAGGTTCCATTCCCAGCATCCACATGGCTCACAACTGTCTTTATTCCAGTTCTAGGGGATCCAACACCCTCTTCTCCTCTCCTTGGGAATCATTTGTACACATGGCATGCAGACATACATGCAAACAAATACATGTATGGGTATATACATAAAACAATAAAAATTAAGAAAGCTTATAGTACATTTAAAGGTGATGTGGCATGAGCCAAACAGTAGAGATGGTTCAATACTATGAAGACTATTCATACAATGGAAATAGTAGATCTAAGGGCAAACCATGATGATTTCCATAGATGAAGAAAATTCAACTAAAACCTACCATCTAGCTTGCTGTGGAAATGAAGCATGTATCAAAGCCAAGGAACAAGACAAGGACCCCTGCCTCCACTGCAATCCACAATGTATCGGAAACAACCAAGCAAAGCAGAGAAAAGAACACGCTGAGGGCGGTCTGTGTACGGATGCTGAGGAGATCTGTGTGTAGGAATGGTCTGGTAGTTCACGTAGAAAACACAAAATCCAGATTAAAGTCAATATAAGCATTACTATACCCCAGAAAAATAAGATACAATATGAGGGATGAGGGCCGGGGGGCTGGGATGCTGTTAATTTCTAGCGTGTCATATGCTGGGCGTTGTGTAGCTCCAGCACTTGGCAGGTGGAGGTGGGAAGATCAAGAATCTTGGGATACAAGGTACTTTGTCTCTAATCATCATCATCATTGTCAACAATACAGATTAAAAACTGTCCAAGAGTTGTAGGAAAGAAAACTTAGAAATACACTTTGCTCAACGTCTTTGCAATTCTGTGGTCATGTGACTAGGGATAAAGCTGTTACCACACAAAGCAGAACAAAGCATATACAGTTTAAATTGTGTCATTAGATTACAAATCTTGATTGTCTAGGAAATACACTAGTTTTATAAACAAATTGATTTTAGCTTTGTTACCAAGTGGTCAGTGGTCATGGGCACTTGCTATTCTTGCAGAGATCCAAGGTTTGATTCCCAGCACCCACATGGTAACTCACAACTGTATGTAAAATTCCACAGTATCTAAGTTCCTCTTTTCCTCTAGGGGTGTCAGGCTCACGCATGGTGAACATCCATACATGCAGACAAAACTCTTACACATAAAATAAAAATAAATCTTTAAACAAAATTCCAAATGAATGTTTCTAAGAAGCTAGCAATCACAACTGAGGACTCTAGGGAAATAGACCAAGGTCTACTCTGTCTAACCCTTTTTATTTTTTCCTAAGTTAGCTCAAGCTAGCCTTGGATTTGAAATCTTCCTGCCTTAGCCTCCCATGCACTGGGATTACAGTGAGTGTCACCAGGCCTGACTGATTTTGCAAACTCAGGACATGCGAGGAAAACTCCTTATCACTGGATCAAAACCCTGGATCAGTGGGGATATGGGTGGGGATAGCCTAGAGGAGTTGGAGGGATGGGGATAGGGGTTCACATAGCTTTACCCTCCCTACCTGGAATCAGACTGACCATGGGATACAATGTCTTCACAGAAAAAGTTAATTCAAAGCCCAGCGGGAAGATTGTCAAAAGTCAAAACCCCTGTCAAAAAGCAACAGCTACTCCAGCCTTTAGAGACCATGAAGAGGGTTCTTATGCACTTCGTCTGCCTTTCCACTAGGGGAGCTACTAGATACCCTCCAACCTTGTGTTCCACTCTGAAATCTCTAATGGTATTTCTGGTCTCCGGATCAAGCCTCTGGCTCCTGCCTGAGTCTCCTTTCTTTCTTTTTTAAACTTCTATGCTTTGGCTGCTCTTGATGGAATCCAGTGACAGCCAGCCAACCAGTATATGGAGTCCCATAACCTGAGAAGCAGTAATCTATACTTTCCTGCCATTGCGGTTCCAGCCCCAGCCCTTGTCAATAGATCACAGAAATGATTCTGGGTCCATACGTTAAAATCTCTAGGTTTTGTTTCTCATGGGACTTTGTTTCACTTGTTCTAAAGATTTATTTTTTTATGGCCTGGAGAAAATGTTCAGCAGTTAAGAGTGCTTGCTACTCTCGTAGAGCACTGATAAAAAGAATTTTTAAAATTTTTATAAATTGTGTGTGTGCGTGTGTGTGTGCGTGTGTGTGTGCGTGTGCGTGTGCGTGTGTGTGTGCGCGTGTGTGTGTGTGTGCGTGTGTGTGTGTGTGTGTGTGTGCGTGTGTGTGTGCGTGTGTGTGTGTGTGTGCGTGTGTGTGCGTGTGTGTGTGCGTGTGTGTGTGCATGTGTGTGTGTGTGTGCGTGTGCGAGTGTGTGTGTGTGTGTGTGTGTGTATTAGAATATGCATGTAGTGTGGGTGCCCAAGGAGGTCAGAAGTGTCAGATGTCCCCTGGAACTGGAGTTACAGGCAGTTGTGAGCTGCCTGATATAGATTATGGGAACTGAACTTGGGTCTTCTGCAAGAGCAGTACACTCTTAACCATCTCTCTAAAACCTCTTTTTTTGTTTTGGTTTGATTTTCAAGACAGGGTTTCTCTGTGTAGCACTGACTGTCTTATCCTGCAACTTGCTTTACTTTGTAGACCAGCTCGGCCCTGAACTCTAGAGATCCACCTGCCTCTGCCTCCCAAATGCTGGGATTAAAGAAGTGTGCCACCACTGCTTGGCTCAGAACCTTAGTTTTAAATTTAAGAAAAAAATGTGGAAAATATTGTATATATATACATTATATATAACATGATTATTTTGAAGCTCATATGCTTTCTGAAATAGTTATATATTAGCTAATTTAAAAATGTATTACTGGGTTTGGGGATTTATCTCAGTGGTAGAGCACTGCCTAGCAAGGGCAAGGCCCTGGGTTCCGTCCGCAGCTCTAAAAGGGGGTGGAGGAAGGGAACATGAGAACCACAGACAACTTAAGTATTCCTTCTAAGTGGTTAGTTTAAAACCAAAAATGTATAAGCAACAACTTATTCAAACTCAAAGAGAAAATACCATATGAGAGCCGGCCATACCCTGAGGCTGCCTTGCCCAGACAGGACCAGAGCTTCCTTAGTCCTCCATCTGGTTCCAGGGAACAAGGAAACATAGAGACTGTAGATTGTGCTCAGGATAGCTGGGAACACCAATCGCCTGTGGGCATAGACAAAGGGCAGAGGTGCAGGAGGCTCACGGCTACCAGGTGTCAGGCTTAGGCCTTAGCTCACAGAAGGTCCAGAGCTACCATCACCAAGCCTGTTCACTCTCTCCTCCTGGCTCAACTGTAGCTAGACTCATAGAAACTCATCTTGGGAGATATATAAACTGACGACGTGACTGCTCCATCGTACGGTTAAGGGGAAGATTTTTATTGTAGATGAGAGAGAGAGAGAGAGAGAGAGAACAGCCAGAGACACTCTTTCAAAAGAGAGTCCAGATCAAAAAAAAAAAAAAAAAGAAGTAGATTGGACATGGCCATCAGACTGGACATGGCCATCAGATTGGACATGGCTAGGGCTATTCGCAAGAGAGGGGAGTATCGTAGGGGAGAGAGCAAACATACTGAGACTATCAGGAGCCAGAGCTTAGAGAAAAAACAGTAAGAAAAGCAGTTTATAAAGAGAATGAGTAGCTGGGAAGAGGGAAGCCTGTGATCTGGAGGGATTTAGAGTAGGGGAGGGGGTGAGAAGGGCTAGGATGCCTGCGTGGACTTTGAAATGTCTAACAGATGCTTGTGATA